GCGTCTCGACGGTGGCCAATCCCTGTGGAGACTTGCAGACGGTGCCACCCCTTGTGCTAGCGGCGCTCCACAGGAACCATCATCCGCGCCATCGCGGCTGTCATCATGCTGATACCACCAGAGCAGGTCCAAGCCTCCAAGCGGCCACATTCTGTGGCGAGGCAGCCAAGATGACTGCAGGGCAGAACGTCAAGAGCCAGCTTCTCGTTTGGCCAGCACGACGGACTCGCGGGTTGGACAAGCCGCGCATTTGGAGTAGTGCTGCCTAGGCGAACACAACGGACTCGCAGGTTGCTTGCACAGGCCGCAGGCACCGTCCCGCCAAGACAAGCCGCGCATTTGGAGTGGTGCTGGCTAAGCTCGTCTGAAGGGTTGCAAAGTGTGCCATCTCAATGGCGACTTCTCAAGAGGAAGAACGGATCATTCAAGAATCCAAACAGTAGCAGTGGGCAACGAAGCTAAACCGGGACACCGGGTTGAGCAGAACCCCGAAGACCTTTCGGCCACACAACGGAAATTCTGAACTTGAACCAACCAAGCCCAGCAGTCCGCAGTGGGAAACTCAGGAAATGAAGAGGTTTCTGTTAGACCGACCTTCCCAGCCTCGACGAATCCAAAGCGACCGGGCAGTGCAGGCAACCTCAGGAGCAGGGTTGCCCCGCCCAAGCAGCCGCACTTTCGCAAGACAGCGTCATTCTGCCACGAGCAGAAGAAACAACAAACAAGCGATTTTCTTCTCGTGGCGGCGTCGTTGTTGCTTGCTTGCTCTTTCGCAAGACAGCGTCGAAGCAAGCAAGCAACGGTGGAAGCTAGCCAGAGCAAAGAATTCACAGCCCGCACGGCTCACCGTGGAGTCAAGGGCCGCGCCACCCAGTCGCCCCAGCTCACGACTTGGTCGTTGTCAAGAACGGCAGCAAAACCAAGAGCGGAGGCTGCGATACCCCGCACATTCTTGAGCTGATCTCGCACGGCACTGCTGTCGCCACCGCGCTCTGGGAAGCCCCATGATACAACCGTGCCGTCGGCCTTAATGGCAGCGAAAGCATTGAAGTTGCTTGCGATCTGCTCCACATCTGTCAACTGATGTTGCACTTTGCTGCTGTTGCCACCATGAAGGCCACAGCCCCAGGTTACGACGGAGCCATCGCGTAGAAGCGCTGCAAAGGCTCCGCGGTTACTTTGGATTTCTCTAACGTCCTTCAGCCGTTTCTGCACTTCACTGCTGTCCGCACCAGAATATCGAGCCCCACCCCATGTAACCACGGAACCATCTGTGCGGATCGCTGCAAACGCATGCGTCGTCGATTGGATGGCCGATACATTGCACAACTGTTCCTGCACCGCGCTAGAGTCGCCTCCGCTGAAGTCTTCACCCCATGTAAAAACGGATCCGTCGGTCAGAATGGCTGCAAAAGCCCTCGATGAGGATTGGATGGCGGTGACGTTTTGCACAGGCACAGAACTGCATTTGCCCCAAGTAACGACAGATCCATCGTCGAGCAGCGCCGCAAAGGCTTCTAGTGACGCTTGAATCTGCCGCACGCCTTTGAGTTGCTTCTGCACTCCACTGGAGTCGCCTCCGTGTACACATCTTCCCCACGTCACGACAGAGCCATCTGTGCATGTTGCCGCAAAAGCATCGCCGGTGGTCTGGATGGCCTGCACGTTCATTAAAAACTCCTGCACTCTCAGGCTGTCCCCACCGCCAGTTCGGGAGCCCCAGGTAACAACAGAACCATCGGCCTTGATAGCAGCAAAAGAAGATCGACCCGCTTGAATCTGCCGCACGTTCTTCAGCTGATTTTGCATAGCGGGCTCGATGCCGCCTCCGTAGTCTTGCGCGCCCCATGTAACAACGGATCCATCATCAAGAATCGCCGCAAAGGCGGCCCCTTCCTGAGACGATGCAACGGCCTGCACGTTTTTCAAACGGTCCTGAACAGATTTGCTGTCACCACCAGTCATAGCATTCCCATAGGACGCGACCGAACCATCGCGGCGGAGCAACGCACAAGAGAACGCGCTCGAGCTCAAAGCCGCTTCGAGGAAGAGGTAG